CGAGGAGAGACCGAGCCAGCAGGCTCGGCTGACGCTGGGAGAGTCTAGAGCAGGCCTAGATCAGCAGCCAGGGTCCTATCCCTCCATGGGGCTGCCCTCCTTCACAGACTGGTGTGGGTCAGGAAAAAGATGGAAACAGCAGCCTCATCTAGAAGCCACCCTCCCCGTGGCTTCCAAGTGGCTGTTGGTTCCCAGAGTGCGCTCCCCTGCGGTTTGCTCAGCCAGGGAAGAGATCACAGTTGACCAGTTCATAATCTTAGAATCCATAAACAGGGAAACCACATTCTGGCAATGCATTTTCAGCATACCTTCTCCCTCCCCGCAGCTGTTAGTTTGAATGACCCCAGGAACAGAACTTGCTTAACCAAAGAAGAAAACAGATTTATAAAAACAGAAGGAACACAGAGCTGCTATCCAAGGAACGCATGCATTAGAAAGTAGGCTTGAACGTGGACAGGTTGCCCAGCTGTTCTAAGAGGCAGCCGACGGAGGGGTGGGAGGGCCTCTCTCTGGGAGGGCCTCTCTCGGGCTGCCAGGCAGGGAGGCTCTAGGGCCCTCCCCCCTAGGAGGGGCTGGTTGTGGCAGCGGATCTGGCTACGAATGGCCCCGGGCCAAACAGGGCCAGTCCCTGCTCTGGGATACCCATCAGGGACTGTTTGGACCTGCCTTTTAAAAAACTTAAACGCTAAACATTGCTCCATTGTACTTCCGTTTCCTTCTTGTTTCAGTAAAAACCCTGTGGAGCCAAACACCATCATCTCAGCCTCCCGGGCACTTCTGGACCTGCTCAGGGCAGTCAGAAAAGGGCGACCTAGGGCACACGCCTTCAGAGGCCTCTCGGAACAGGGGGACGAGTTGGACTCAGAGAGGCTCTGTTTTTGAAATGCAGAAACTCAGAGAGTTGGTTCCCCTTAGTGGCAGAGAGAAGCTGCTAGAAGGGACGTTCTGGCCTGGCAGAGGGGGGCACCCAGCCTGGCAGAGCCCAGGCACGTGCCGGGCTGCCTCTGCCCCTTGCCAAAGGCTCCGGGAGAAGTTTCCTCACAAGCCTCCTCCACCTGGAACCACCTCAGGCTGCTCCGCGCGATCTGGCCGGGAAGGAGGAGGGAGTCGGCCGCAGCTCCTGGGCAGCTGGGATGCATTTGTGGACGTGTCTGAGGAGAGGAGAAGGGGCCTTCCCCAGATCTGGACACCACAACCCAAAAGCCACTTGGCACAGCTGCAAGCCCAAGCGAGCCAGGAAGGCTTCCTCATCTCTGTGCAATTCCAGCAATTCTGGTGCTCAGAAAGACTGCTGGACAGCATGAAGGGCATCGGAACTCCCTGCTGTGCCGTTCCATCCAGAATAGCTGCTGAGATGGTGCCCAGAACCTCCCCGGGAGAGAGGTTCATAGGACCTGTGCCAGGATCCAGGAGAAGACGGTGCTTGGGGTCCTCTGAGGAGTGCCCTGATCCTTCTACCCTCTTGGCCCCACCAGCCTTCCCTTTGGGGGGTCCATCTCCAGCATGTGGCTCTGGAGGAGAGGAGCCAAGGGGGCCCCTGGGGGGTGCGGAAGGGAAGGAGGGAGGGCCGCCCACCCGCCCGCCCGGGCGGATCATGGCCTTGCATCCACGTGGCTCTCCTCGTCAGACCTGCTCCTGTTGAGCTAGATGGCAGTCCTTGCCCTTCTCCTGGATGCCCATCTGCTCCCCCAGCGGGGTCTCCTGAGTGGGAAAAGTAGGGCAATCCTCTTCGTTCTCAGTGGGCTCGGGGGGGTCCTGGGGCTGCAAGAGAAGCCAGGGCATTGGAGGCTGGAGGCAGGGCTCCCACGGCGCCTTCCTGCCATCGCTTCATCCCTCGAGGCAGGGCTTGGCCCCCTCCCTCCACCTTCCCACCTCTGCCCAGGAGGGCCACGAAAGGGAGCGCCTACCGGATTCTGATGTCCCTGAAGTCGCTTCCGAGCACCTAGGCAGGAGGAAGGGAAGATGTCATCCACTCTGCATCCACAGGGAGGAGGCCTGCTTCCCGGTGGGCTGCCTAGACTGGCCCGACAGGGAGGAGGGGAGGGAGCTCCAGGGCTGGCAGCCCTCTCCTGGATCCAGCAGTGGAGCAACATTTTCCACGCCAGGGTTGGAAGAGAATTTTCCACCCCAAACCGGGGGGGGGTGGGGGGTGGTATTGGATGCAGCCGCCAGGTGTCGCTCCCATCCTCCCCCACAAGAAAGGCCTGAAGACTCTCCAGGCTTGGAGGGGGTCAGACTGGGCTGGAAGGCAAGGCACATCTGAAGATTAACGGCCTCAGGAACTTCTTGCTCTTCCTTGATGCCTCCTCTCTCCTTCAGACCCTTCTCTTCTTGCCCTGGTTTCCCCCTCTGGACTATAAGAAGCCTGGAGCTGGAGGGCCTGAGCCCACCTAGTAGGGATAGGCCAAAGAACACAGCCGCAGAGGCAGTCTGGAAGCCCAAACCCCAGAGCCCAAGAAAGGTGGGCCAGTGTTGATCGTCAGGGGGAACCCCAGTCTCCGAGGGCCCTTTCAGAGGCAAGGCAGGTTCTGCTCTGGGGCAGCCACTCACTGGGATCAGCGCCACAAGTAGCTGGCCCCCCCGCCTCCATCTCCCTGCGTGCTCCTCCCAAGGAGAAACCAAGTTAGGCCTGAGCAAAACACCTTCTGGGGAAGCATGGCCACTTGAAGCAGGACCAGGCAGGAAATGGGACCTTTGGGGGAGAGGGCTTTGCCCCACGCCCCCTCTATTGCCAGCTGCCCCCAGCAGAAAAGCCAGGGGGCACGTCCGGGAGTGTGTAAGCAGGGGGGGAGGGGGGATGCCCGATAGCAGGCTTCAAACATCTGCCCTACCAAAGAGGGGGTGGGCTTATTCTTCCTTGCCCCAGACAACAGGGCCGGAGCAGGTGGGCGGCAGTTGCAAGGAGTGAGGCTCGGGCTAGACATTGGGAGTCACCTCCAGACTGTACAAGCTGTGGACCAGTGGAACAGGCTGCCACGCAAAGTGGTAAGCTCTCCCTCGCTAGAGATCATCCATCAGAGATGCTCTGGCAGCAGGCGGAGGTCAACCCCCAGGCCCCCCCAGCTCTGTCCCCACGCTGTCCATTTCCCTCCTCTGCCCCAGGTACCCCCTCATCACGTACACTTGCCGTGCTGATGCCACAAGAAAAGGAGCGCCCCCAGCAGTAAGGCAGCAAGAGGGAGCAGCGCCAGCAGGTGAGTCTGCCTGGGCTTCTGGTGGGGCAGGGAGCCTGCGGGAAGAAAACATTCCCGCTGCAATCCCAAAAAGTGGGCTTTCCTGCTCCGTCCGCAGGCCGAGCCCACTCCGTTCCCCTCTGGGGCACCAGTGTGGTCAGGGGGCAGGCTGCTAGCTGGCTTTCTGCAGCCCCCCCCCACCTGCCCGTTCCTCCACGGCCTCCGCCGCTCCACTCTTCGCTTACCACAAGTGACGTCCGTTGCCCGCGTGCCATTTGCCTTCGAGATGATCCCGTTTCCCTTGCAGCTGCGAAGAAAGGGCAGCCTGAGCATGGAGCCGGGCCTCTCGCGCCCACAGACATGCGTGCAAATAGCACCCCCCGGGCCCCACTGCAAAGCAGCCACCCTGGGGAAGAGACGCTTGGCCTCCCGGGGGGGGGGTTCCAGCCAAGCGGAATCAGGGAAAGACCTCCCTCCAGGCTGCTCTGAGCAAAAGGGCAGCAGAGCGCAACTGCCTGCTTTGCGAGGTCAGCGTGGCGGGGCGCGACTCACAGAGCTGCCCAGTGCAGCAGCGCAACTTCTGAGAACCACAGTTTCCGACAAGGCGGCAAATGACAAAGCGTGCGTTGCAACCCCTTGATGCGAACGCCACCCACCCCTTTTGTACCTGCCTCACAACGTCACAGGGAAGGGCAGAACATTGTTCTGATGAAATGTGGCTTGCTTAGGCACCTCTGAGGGGAGGGGGAGGTGCATGAGGTCGCCACTTGCTGCCAGACACCAGTTTATCGTCCGGAGGAGTGGTGATCCCACACTCTTGGCCCGAACGGCAGAACGCTGCTGCCTTCCTGCCCGCTCTTCCCACAGCGCGAGGCACCAAGGGAGGCAGCACTTCAGGAAGCCAGCAGCCATTCTGGTGGGCCCCTTGCATGGCATACCTGCTCCAGGGCTGGCACCGAGCTGTGGAGGACGAGACGTTGGAGAAAAAGCCCCAAGGGCACTGGATGCAGACAGTGTCATTCTCGTGACTGCCTGGAAGTACACATGACAGCGTCACCGAGAGGCCGATGGCACGTCCAGCGTGCAGGAAGGGCCGGGCCGACGCACCGGCCCTGCCTTCCGGCCCCCCTGCGCCAGCCCCCGGCAGCAATGCAAGCCAGGCTTGCTCGGAAGAGGAAGACCTCTCCCCGGCCGGGGAGCTTCCAGACACTCCCCCTCTCGCCTCCTGCAGCAGAAGAGAGGTGGATGTGGGTGCTCTGTCTGGCCCCACGCTGCAGGGCCTTTCAGGGAGGTGACCTCCTCTGAGAGCGGGCCAGAGGGCCCCAGATCCTGGGCCAGCCCGCCTCCAAAACCAGCAGCGCTGGGGCGGCTGCCCCCTACCTGCCCGATGGACACCCTCCCCTGGACCGCACAGCCTGTGGGGCCGGCAGGTCTGGCACTCGCGGTTGGAGCAGTGGGTGCCCTCCTGGCACTGGCAGATGACATCTTGCTCCTTGTTCCCATTCCAATGGACAGTCAGGCCGGCTTCTGAAAGAGGGAGAGGGACGTGCGAGGGGTGGCTGGCCAGGACGGCTCCAGTCGAGCAAAGGGAGCCCCCAGCTGCACTCACGCTGGTTGCAAGAGCGGTGCGGGGTGCAGTATCGCTCCTTGGTCCAGCCGCCCTGGAAGTGGTGCTCCTCGCACGGACTGCATGTGGTATTTGACTCCCCTGAACAGTCCTCTTCCACCTTCTGGCCTGCAAGATGGCAAGAAACAAGCAGGATGGTTGGGGCCAGCCCGGAGCTAGCAGGGCAGGGCTGGCCTGAAGCAGGAATGGGGGGGGCTAGGGGTGGGAATATCTGAAAGAACGTCTCTGTGGGGATGGGGGGGCCACGAGGGGGCCAGCAAGGAGCTTTGCTTTGCAGAGATGGGAACAATCCGGCAGAGCAGCGCTGGAGACAAAAGCAGTCAGCAACAAAGGGCACAGAAGAGAGCTCCGGGGACTCGAGGTGCTGGACTTGAGCGCTCCTGCCCCCCCACCTGCCCACCTGTCATGCCAGGGTAGGGCAGGAGCAGAATCAGGAATTGCACGTCTAAGCGGGGCAGTGGGGGGGGGGGGGACTAAATGGCTTGGGGAAGAGGCAGCTGCCCCACATTGACACTACCTGGTGGGCATCGGCTGCAGCACCTGTTATTCCATAGGTATTGAGTCCCACTGCAGCTTAACCCCTGTACAAGAGCCAGGCTCTGCAACCAGAAAAACCGCAGGTGATTAGTGACCGCATCTACGTCCCACTTCCCCCCCAAACTGAGCACTCTCTCAAGCAGCCTGGGTAGGATCAGTGCTGACAGCCCCCCCCCCCCCCCCCCC